CTGTGGTGCATGGTGTTCTTATTGTCTACGTGGACGACTTCCTATTGCAAGCCCGCCTCGGTCAGATGAGGAGTGCATTTTTGCAGTCTCTTGGTCAAGTTTGGACATTGGCTAAAGAAGCGGTGTTGCAAGTAGGGTGCCCCCTTACGTTCCTCGGCATTGACTTGCACCTCCGGGACAGCGGGGACATCTTCCTCAACCAGGAGAGGTTCACCAATAGCATCCTGAACAAATACAGCATGGACGCATGCATTTTTATCAAATGTGTGCAGATTGGACCTCTACCTGCTGAGCCGGACGCACCGAGCCCCGCAGCCTTACGCCAATTGCAATCGTACGCTGGTGAATTCAATTGGTTGGCGACGCGCACTAGGCCAGATATCAGTTATTACACATCGATTTTGGCTTCTGCTTGCAGCAGATATGCGACTTGGTCGTTGGAGCTGGCTCAGAAGATTTTGCGGTTTCTTCGCGGCACGGCACGCCGAGGCATTCTTATTTCGACTTCCGGGTCAGAATCCGATCTACAAGCTTGGACTGATGCAGGTTTCGCCGGCGAGGAGACCAGGGCGCAAAACGGCTTGATTATCACATGGGGGGGTTCGATTATCGCGTGGAGATCGTCCAGACAGACGGTTTCCGCCCTGAGCACGGCAGAAGCCGAACTCAATTCAGCCACCCTTGGTTGGCAGATCGTGGAAGGGCTCCGCCTCCTCATCGAGAGCTTCGGGGTCCTCGTGCCGACCGTTCGGATCCTCGTGGACAACCAAGCGGCCCTCGCGATAGCTCAGTGCGGGGCGGCGTGGCGCACCAGATATTTTGCTGTTCGGGGCCACCGCCTGCGCGAGGAGTACGAGAAAGGCGTCGCTGATCTGATTCATTGCCCGACGGCAGGCATGATAGCCGATTGTCTTACAAAGTTGGCCACGGCACCTGTGATTGAGGTGCTGCACAAGGCGATGGGCGGCGCGCTACCTGATCTGCCGGCCACCAGTCGCTGCGCAGCATCCGCAATTCAACATTGTCTTGGCGACCCTGGCTGCCAAGGAGTGCTGTTCGCCGTGGATTACGACGACCCGGCCGAGATGGAGTCCAAAGGTGATCTCCGCGAAGGCCGGGAACGGGAAATACAAGACGGAGGTCTGGCTGAAGGACCTCGCCAACGCGATGTCGACCACTCTGCTCGGCCACGGGCTTCGACGGGCCGGCGTGGCAAGAAGAGGTGCCGACCAGGCGCTTCTGAGCGTCGCTGGGCCACCCTGGATGCAGAGCTGCATGGGGGGAGCGCGTGAGTCCCTCCGGGCCCACCTTCTCATGAAGAACATGCAGCACAGCAATGACATCGAGGGAAAGGGTGAGTGATCACGTGCATGCCGTTGCACCGATTGTATTATATGTATAGTACGCTTCCGTGCCGGATTTCTAATGTAATCTAAGCGACGGTAACTGCGCTTCTTTTTCGTGGGCCCAACAAAAACCTGGCCCGGGTTGTGCCCCTCGGGGGCCTTCGAGTCACGAGTTGGCTGAGAAGGACCTCTGTGCTTTGCTGGCGCGAGACAAGGCCTGCCCGCAAGCTCCCCGCTGGTGCGAGACGAAGCTCCCTGCCGGCGCGACGCGAGAGGCTCAGAGAGGCTGGGGCAGTCCAGCCGCGAGGGCGCATCAGAAGATAACATTAATAATTAACGGCAGTATTTCACGCCATATTTATATATCGTAGTGTACGCTCTTTTACTCAAGGTCGGTGGTCGGGCTGGGAATCCAGCTCGATAGCCGACGGTCGGTGGTCGGGCTGGCTCTGCCGTTCGATAGCCGACAAGTCCCTTGCACAGTTTCGACCCCAGAGAAACGAGTCGATGCAGAGACGCTTTGCGCGAGCCGCGGGATGGATATGGATCCGTACCCGTTTGGCTCAAGCCGGACTGTTTGCGTAGCAGGAAAACGTTGCGCAATCGTCAGTCCATCGTCACTCCCCACGTCTACCTCTTACAGTCCACTCCATTGTAAGATCTTCTGTTGGTACCACTGTGCCGGCGATGGCAGAACAAGAGTTGCAGTTATATGACAGAACACGTGGAACCATCAGTATGCACTACAGCTCCGATCGAACGCTGACGGTCGATGATGTGGCCTCCAGGAGGTGCGTGACATCCCAAAGAGTTCCGAACCAGGATCCCCACCCCTGACGACGTACCATGTCCAACTCCTGGAGCAGCAGGCCCAAGGATAGCTTTCCACCCATGCCGATGGGCCCAGCCTGTAGCCTCCTCCAGCTCAGCTTCGATTAAGTGGTGCTCTTAGATAAAGAGAATGTGCGCACCACACTTAGGGGGCCAAGCTTTGAGACCGCCTCCCGAGTCGGATTGCCAAGACGTGACGTTAGCAGTCTGGGCGACGAGCTCAACATTTAGAATCTCCAGGACTGGGCTCGGGGGAGTGGAAGGGAAAAAACTTGGACGCCGGAGAGCGTTCAACAACGAGGCCGGGTGCGGCCTTGGTAAAGAACTTCTTGGCCCGCGGAGCCGAAAAACCCAGGAGGGCCGCGCCGATGCCCAGGAAGATGGCCGCCAGCGGCCAGACGGGGACAGGCACTGTCCGACTTGGCAAGGGTGGCCTCCGCAGCTTGCGACAAGTTGAAATACTTGCGGGCATCAGCCCACTGGGCATCGAGAGAGCTACACACTCCGTCGACGCCCACGTCATACGACCCATGATGGGAATGCGTTCTGAGACCGAGGTTTCCGAACACATCGAAAGCAAAAGGTGGGGGCTGCCGCTCCTGGTCTCCAGGGCTCATTTACGTTCCCTGGATCCCTGGAGGGCAAGAGTGGCCTGCTGGAGGCCCAGAAAAATAAAAAAAACCCTCTGGGCGCTCACCGTGTGAGCGCTGTGACTGGCACGCGCATGCAAGCGCGGATGTGCGGCCAGGCTAAGCACTGGTTCCTCCCCCCGCCCCGTCAGGAGCAGGGGGAGGGGGTTGAAGGACCCTCTCTGCCTTGGCCCGCACATCGTCAGCTGCTGGGGCTCCACCACCAGCTGGAGTTGCCTCGGCGGCAGCCGCGGCTGGGGCAGCAGCAGGTGCCTGACGCGGCTCATCAGCTCCAGCATCTCCACCAGCAGCTGCTCCCAGGTCGGTGCGGCGCCGCTTGCTAGCAACGCGAGCCAGGTGTTCACGATGGGCATCTCGAGCAGCTTTGGCGGCAGCCACCAGGGGGCCCAGCAGGTCTTTGGCGAGCTTGGACACACGCGCGTTGAGGTCCTCCTTCCGCTTGGCGATCTCTTCGCGGTCCTTGTCCTCGAGCTCGGCATCGCCCTCGAAGAAGCTGACCTCGTCCACTGTGAGGAAAGCGCCCAGGTCGAACGTGTCGGCGCACAGGTCCTCCAGCTTGAGCTTGGCAGGCACAGGAGCAGCAGGGGGGGGCGCCACTGACGCCTGCTGCTGCAGGTCCGCAACCAACGACTTGTACTGCTGGTCGGCAGTGGCCAGCTCCTCACGCATGCTGCGCACTGTGTCTTCAAGCTTAGCAGCGTCGTCCCTCCATCCCAAGAACTTGTCCACTTCTCTGTCCAAGGCCTTCTCCAAACGAGCCACAGCCGCGAACTGCTGCTGCACGCGCTGGTGGAGAGGTGTGGGAGGCTTGGGCAACTCTTGAGCATGAAGTTTCTTGAGCTCAGCCTCGTACTCTGATGCCGTGGTAAGGTCGCCTCCTTTGCGCGCGAGCTCAGCCAGCTGCTTGGCCTTGGTCGCGTTGAGCTGGCTCTGCGCGCCGACTGGGAGCGGGGGTGCCTTGGCGGCTGAGCCTCCAGGATGCCCTCCTCCATGTGCAGCACCAGCGAACTGCCCAGAACCACCTGGGGGCCCTGAGGGAGTACGAACTTGCATGGCCCGTGGCGCCATCGGTGAGAAGACGCCAGGAGGAGCCTGTGACCACGCCCCACTCTGTGGGGCTCCACCATCAACGGGGCGCACAGCAGCAAGAGGAATACCACAATGCTTGCAGTAGCGAGCCGATTTCGGCTTCTTGGCGCAGCCGCAGGAGCTGCACTTGAACTTGGAGAACCCTTCTGCAGTCTTGTCCGTGTACATGTAGGCGCTACTGTAGTGCCATGGGGGGGCCGTGCTGTTGGACCAGTCCTCTCGACCGCGTCCTTTGCCACGCCCTCCACCTTTAGCACCACCATTGCGCTGGGTAGGCGGGGGTGTCATACACCCCGAAGTCAATCACTGAGTAGATCCGAGCCAATGGCCCGTTGACGCAGTGTGCCGCTCTGAGGTTCGCGTCAACAAGCACAAAATATTTGTGCCAGAACGGCTGAGGAGGAGGAGGAGGAGGAGGAGGAGGAGGAGGAGGAGGAGGAGGAGGAGGAGGAGGCAGAGGGATGGAGAGAGAGAGAGAGAGAGAGAGAGAGTGAGAGAGAGGTATACAGTGGGGGCGCGCATCGAGAAGCCATCAGCTTTTCGTCATGGTATTCTGAGTTTCTACCGTCCTCGGCGCTGCGCGGGAACTTCCAGCGGCCGTTGAAGAGGCTGCTGCGTTCAGGGTACCCTGGGCGTCCCCCCAGTCGCACCTCTCGCGCTGGGTCTTCAGGGCTGGGTTTCTTGCGGCCGCGTCCGCACTCGATGGATGGGCACCCTTGCTGCTCTTTTCCTCCTTTCGTGTCGTCGTGTTCTCTCCTCCCCTCCTCGCCGTTCGCTTCCACTTGCCTGCCGCTGCCGTTGCCGTCCGCATCCTGCACTGAGCGCTTCGATCGAGATCTCTGGAGTCCTGCAGATAGCACGGTCAGACCTGTGGTCGCCCCCTTCGAAGGTTCTCTCTGCACATCGCCAGATCAGAACAGAGGCATGGATGGAAGTGGAGGAGGGGAAAAGAAGAGAGCTGGCGAGAGAGGGGGGGGGAGGGGAGGGGGGCAGAGGGCGGGGGTGGGAGAGAGGGGAAGAGGAGGGGAAATGTGGAAAGGGGGAGCGGGGCGTCGGAACAGACGAGGTGAGCGGTTCGGCTCAGGCGGCGCGCATCTGCCGGCGCTGCTTCGAGAAAATCGAGGCCGGCGGCACGAAGGAGGAGGCCGATGCGCTCAAGAAGGACCTGCTGGAGAGGCGTCGCCGGGATCAACCGCCTCCCGTGCTGAAGTCCTCCCTCCTCCCACTTCCCGCATCCCTCGATCATCCCCGCCCCCCCTGAGCCTCCTCCCCTTCGCGTTCTCGGGTCTTGTTATTCAGTCGCTTCGCTGATTTCGCTGGTCCCTTCTGAATGCAGTGTTGGGGAAACGAAAGACTCGAGAACGCCGGAACTCGGGTTTGCCGACGCTTTTTGATGAGCGCGTCCTGGATTTTTGCGGTACAATTTTCGTGGGATGTTTGCAGCGGGAGCTCGCGTCAAATTTCGCACTGGGTCTTGTCATGTTCATGATGGCGCCGTCAGGTCAGCCCGAGTCCCCCGAGCCCGAATCTTACGCGTTCCTCGACAATGTCTGATGGCCTTCGGCCAGAATGGGTCGTGGACAAGAGGCCTTTTTGTGAGGGTTGCTGGGGTCTCTCAGGAGGCCTCTCGGGGGCCTCGCGGCGGCACGTTCGGGCCTTTTTTGGGAACCTTTTGGGGTCTCTCGGGGGCTGTCTTGGGGCCTCCCACCTTCCCTCTCCCCAGGGCCTCCCCGTTCCCTCCCCCCCGCTGAGCCTCCCCCTCCCCCCTCCCTTGGTCCTTACTATTCCCCCTTCCCCCTCTCCCAGTCCCCTGCCTTGCTCACCCCCCCCGTTCCCCCCCCCCCCCTCCGCCCTCCTCAAGCAATTGGGGCTCTTGCAGGTGGGGCGGGGGCTGGGGTAACCTTTCCTTTCTTACCTACCCACCGTACCTCCAGAGTTCCAGTCCTGCACCTCAGCGTGGTGCTTGAGTGGCATCGCGGGCGCGAGCGAGGATCGCTACCGCGTTGGCGAAGCAGGACATGGTCTACAGTATCCGCATAATCGCATGTCGGGCGTGTCATCCAGGGTCTGGAGCAGGTGCACCAACTGCAAAACGTGCGAATGGAACCACATTCTCGAGGACAGTGGAAGAGTATGTAAGAAGTGCGGGCAGCAGGTTCGCCTACATCGCGCCAGGTCCAAATCCCCCAAGAGTGAATCCTCCGACATTGGCAGGAACCAGTTGCTCAAACCTGGGAAGTCTATTTTGAAAGGGCCAGTTGCGCAGAGCACGGCGAAACCCCCGTCAGTGAAGGAGCTCCTGGTGAATGCCATAGCCGCTGCCACCGACCCGCAGTTGCGAGACACCCTTCAGGCGGAGCTGGCTAAACTCGAGAGCGAGTCGGAGGCGCCCGTTGTCGAGGAGCCTGCAGCAGAGGCAGTACGACGTGCTGATTCCGCATGGCGGGATGCAGAGCATAAACACAATCAGTCGGTGAAGTCAGTCATGAGGCTCAGGCAGCAGCTCGCCGTCGCTGAGGCCAAGGAGGTCACAGCGGCCACTGCCCTCGCCGAGGCCACCCTGCACAAGCAGGCCGCAGCCAAGCGTCTCGCTCAGGTGGAGGGCGTTGCCGAGGTCGACACCTGTCCCAAGGGTGGGAGTGGTTCTGGATTATTCAACCTGTCTTGGGATGCCAGTATCTTTGATAACCTGGAGGATTTCGAGGAGTCCGAGCGAGGCGACATGGAGAAGCTGAAGCCGGAGCTTCAGCAGGCCAAAGATCTCCCCACCAACCGCGAGGAGCAGGTCAAGGAGTGGCTGAAGAAGGCTACCGACCTGCGTCAGGCAGTTACTGAGAGGATAAAGAATAAGAGGCGGTCCGACACCTCGAACGCCGCAGAGAACGAGGAGAAGAAGGATGAGGCCCCGCCGCAGCAGGCTGGACATGCCCCTGGAGCACCTGGCCAGGCTACCTCGGAGGAGGCGGGGAGCCAGGATGTGAAGGAGGCCAAGGAGGTTAGAGCTGCTGCTGTGCGTGCCGAGGCTGAACGCATATCCCGCGCCAAGTTCGTGGCCGCCGAGGCCAAGGGCAATGGGGCGACGGCCAAGGCGGGGGGCAAGGGCTACGCGCCCTACTCGGAGTGAGACTCATCGAGCGCGTCTGAGCCACAGGTTGGGCCAGCTCAGGCGCCGCAGGGATGTCAAGGCCTACCAGATTATTCCTCCTCTCTTTCGGCTCCTGGACCTTCGCGGTTATTTCGGGGACCTGGTGAAGTATCCGAGCCTCCCTCCTCTCCATCTTCATCTACGACGGCTGGGCCATCTACGTCTGACTCGCAGTCGAGTCCTGGCGACGATGATGGGGGGCCGCATACTACTCTCAATTTTGGGAATGTCATGTGCATGAGTGACAGAGTTTGGCAATGGGTAGCACAGCAGAGGCGTACGGCGGACACGTTTTCTTTCGTTGAGACCCACGTCAACGCAGTCGATACCAAATCTTGGGATATCAAAGCTCGCAGTCAGGGGCTTCGGTTGTTTCACAGTGCAGCACGTAGTGGGGTACGGCAGCGTCGAGTTGCTGAAGGGCGTGAGGCGAGGGCGAATGAGGGAGGTGAGTGGATCTTGTCCAAGGGCCACCTCAGAATTCATTCACTCGAGCTAGCCAACATTCCCGATCTCAAGCAAGACAATTCTCAGCAATTAGACGGCGTGGTACCAGTGGTGGTCCACATGCGCGGGTTCTCGTTCGTGCTCATCAGTTTCTACGGTTGGAGCGGGATCGGGTTCTCGGGGGAGAACCTACTTCGATGCCGTCGCCTCAGAGGACTCCTTCGAGCGCTCCAGTTGCCGTGGGTCGTCGTCCGCGACTTCGATATCTCAGCGGCCGCTTTTTTTCACTTTCAGTTCGTGTCTAAACTTAGAGCGCATATTGTGACGGCCCCAGTGGCCCCGCATCGACTACCTCCTATGCAGCGCCAGTGCGATTGGCATCACTCGCAGAGTGGATCCGATTGTGGATGTACCGTGGAAGACGCACATCGGTCTCCGAGTTTCTTTCAGGCAGAAGGGTGAACAGCTACTCACTCGTCTCATGAGTGTCGCAGTTCGACTGCCGCAAATTCCTCGTCCAGGCGTGGGACCCACGGTGGGATCCAAATCGAGCAAGGCACGTGCTGAGAGGGCGCTTGCTGTGCAGGCGAGTGTCATCAAGCGAGATGCTCGCTATGCTGAACTGTTCGGTGATGCTCTGGAAGCCGCTGCTCCGAGTAAAAAGGTTGCTCAGCCACAGTCGGGAGCCTCGGGGCCACCGGCTGCGGTTGATGATTGCGAACCCGATTCTGATTTCTTTGAAGAAGAAGACCCGTGGGTCCACGAGCTAAATTTCTGCCCCGACAGCGCCCTCGGGGGCCAGTCTGGAGCTGGAGGCTCTCATGTTGAGCTGCAGTCTGGCGCGCGTGGTCCTGGGGCCCCTGGGTCGGCCTCGGGCTCTGGCTCTGATCCTGGAGGCTTGGGGCTCTTGGGTGGTGTCGCGGCGCCGAGCGGGCGCAGCGTGCCCTCGTCCGAGGGCCAGGCAGCGCAGCAGGATAGTTCGGCCCAGACCCCCCCCCTAGCATGTCTAGTGGTCAGGTTGCTTACGCCATTCCTGTGGAAGTTTGGGGGGCTCAGCGAGCCTCTGTGGGGTGTCCCAGTTTCTCCCCTGCTTCCCTCCCTCCCTACCTGTTCGACTCCGCCGCGTGCCAGGCTAACCCCAAGGGCTCCAACATCGTAAGTGGGCTCTACGCATCCTGGGTTCAGGCAGTCGAGGGCTCAATTTACCAACATCATGGTGGGCAGGCCCGAGTTGGCCCTTCTCGGTCGGAGTGCCCGTATTTCGTCGTCGAGGAGGTGCGGGTGAATGATAAAGTTCGGGTTGCCCCTTTACGTGATCTTGTTGCTGGGTGGTGGACTCGGCTTCATACCGTCATTAACTCCTTAACCCGCCACAAAGCTAGGAGGAATGGGGTGTTGCAGCGTCAAAGGTTGTAGAAGGCATGTCTGAAGCTTCTAGAAGATAGGCCTGACCAAGTCCATCGTGTCGTGCGGGGCGGCTTGGAACCTGCCTGGTCTGAATGGCTTCGGGTGCTGCTGGCCATCGGCGAATGCGATGTTCGATTGCTTGAGAGGCTTGCTAATGATTCTGGTAAGATTATGCGTAGAGCTCAGCGTAGGGCGGTGTCCGAGTCGTTGCGCTAGTTCAGGGGGTGGGCGGTCACCTCGGAGGCGCTCGGCTGCCTCCGCCGCTCCATGCGCCAGGGCCCCATCCCCGCCCGGGAGCTTTGGGATGATCACTCCCTCGTGTACCATCCCAAGGGCACTGTTGATTTAATTCAAAGCTCGCAAGTGACATGAGTTGTGGGCTCCACCAGCCGGTGCTCCTGAGGCCCTGTTTGACGGGGTGTTGGGGGTTATTCGTGACGCCATTCGGGATTCTGAGGTCCTTCCTGAGATCCAGGTTCACGACCTTCGTCAGGCCCTCAGAGGAATGCGGCCCTCGACGGGGCTAGGCGTGGACAAGTTCACGCCGTGCGTCCTCGGGCGGCTCCCCGACGTCGGCCTGCAAGAGCTTGCCAACGTACTGAATACCATCGAACATCTTGGAGTTTGGCAGATTCAGATTATGGTTGTCATCGGGAAGCTTCCCCCTAAAAAGTCGTCTGGGGATCGGGTCATCAGGTTGGTTTCTACGATCGGGAGAGTCTGGAGTAAGGCTCGGGGGCCCTGGGTGAAATCCTGGACCGAGGCCGCCGCGCCGAGCTGGGACGCTGCTGTTCGGGGGAACTCGGCCCTACAAGAGGCCTTTCGGCGCGTGCTTAACGAGGAAGTGTGTTCAGCTCTTGCCATTCCGTATGGTCACAGTTTGGTCGGCGCCAGCTCATTCTATGACGCCGCGTGCTGGCTCAAATTGGCGCGGGCAGCTGTCAGATTGGAATTCCCACCTACTGTACTACTTCTCGAACTTTCTCAGTGTGCGGCACCGCGCACGCTTAGTCAGCTGAGTGCGTTCTCGCAGCCCTTCGAGCCCACCCAGAGCATCGTCCAAGGGCTCAGGTCAGGGACAAGGCTGGCGAGGATCATGACTTATTACGTTATGCAGCGCATCAGCACCGCTCAGGTGCGATGCAGCCACCGTCTGTGGATCGACGATTTGTCGCAG